TCCCCAAGGTCCAACCTCCGAGGGCCACATGTATTGATAGACCCGCTGCGATCAAGAAGTCTCTGCCCAAGATATTGTCACGGCACAGTCCTGGCATGTGGATGAATCGTTGTTTGCGGCATCTACCCGACCAACGGATACGGCATCTGATGGACTGAGTTGTGGTTGACCATCCTGTTGCCAACCTGAGGGAATGGGTCTCCTGCTTGAGTCCTGCACCAGTAGCCTGAGCAGCCACCACAGCTGGGTCCCCCATTAAACTAACACTGGACCCAGTGTCCAACAGGGCAAGGAATACCTGGTTACCCACGGTGAGCTCGAGCAAGGGCTCCCTCCCTCCGGCTGTTGCTGCAACTTGCAAGGCAGTCTCGTAGATGCTGGCCGGGTCAGCCTCTATGCTCACTTGTTTCCTGGGCAGTTAGCCTGCAGATGTCCACGTTCGTTGCACCTGTAGCAGCGTTGCTGGTTGCGTTGTCTGCCAGTTGCGCAGTATCGGGCAGAGTGTCCAACCCCACCACAGCGTTGACACACTTGTCCTCTGTTGGAGGCAGGCTGCAGGTTTGGGGCCTGCTGTGCAGTCTGAAGCCACTGTTGACCCTGTTGTGGCACAGCTGGTGCCCAGGTTGGATACTGCGGTGTTGCCCACTGTGGTGTTGGCTGCGGCATGGGTTGAAATGAGGTAGCCAAAGTTTGGGGCTGCTGCACTGCCCATTGTGGTGGCAGTTGCGGTGCTGGCTGGCAGGGCATTGTGGTTGGAACCCACATCTGGTCCTTGCAGTAGGATGACTGCACTGCTGCTGGATGCAGGGGCCACCATGGCTGAGGGGCCACCCCAGCACTCACGGCAGCAAGCGTGGATGGAGGGCACTGGTTGGGCACTGTGGGGTGCAGCTCCGCAAAAGCGAGGTCCTTGGCAACTTGGTCCGTTCTTGGCGGCGGCGGAACGTACTTGAGGCGGTGCCATGCACGCTCCATGACGCCGCCGGCTTCCCTCGCAAACTCGCGCAGATTCGCGAACGTGAGCCCTTCGCACAAGTCTTGAAATTTTGGGTGCATCTGACGCCTGACACGTCTCACCTTCTCTTCGTCGGACACCGTCTCGCCGATCCTGTCGTAGAATTCGGCAATGACGTGGATGAAGTGGCGCAAGTTTTCCTGCGGGTGCTGTGTGCGTCGGTCGAGTTCTTCCTTCAGCCGATGCTTGTAATCGACAGACGCAAATTCGGCGTGGAACTCCTTCACGAAAGTTTCCCAGTCCTCAAAGCCTCCCGCAAAGTGCCACCAAAGCTTTGCTGTGCCCTCCAGTGCGGCCGGGAGGACCTGCCGGACGCGCTTGCTGTCCGGAACGCCCGTAACCAGGCAGAAATTCTCGAACTTGTCGAGGAAGTCCGTCGGGCTCTGCCTGTCTTCATAGCCGATGAATTTCGGCAACTGGATGTTACCGCACTTCCAAGGCGTCGGCTCCAGCGTGCGCGCCTCGGTGTCCTGTTGTAACAGTGTGTTCAGGAGCACGTCACGCACACACGAAGACAATCGCTCCCGGTCCATGGCACTGCCGTCCGTCTGGGCCAGCAGTTCGCTGACCACGTTGTTCGTGCTTATGTCGGTGCGCTGGCGAGATGAGGACGTAAAACTGCCTCGCAGGAGTTGCCGTTGGTCTAGCAGGGTAGTTTGGGTTCAGAGGACGAGCCCCCACTTGTCAGGGCCCAGCGAGCTTCCACGCTAGCTCGCTTGCGGTTTCAGAACAAAGGGACTGTCATAACCGGAACTCCTTTATTCCCGAGCACTCGCGGCACACCGCACGCACCGCTCGCCGTCCTTCGTCCGCCCGCTCCCTCATCGTCCGCCGATATCCCCCCCACAGCCGCGCATCCCGTGCGCCCTCTCTCCGAGTCCCGCGGAAGGCGTCCTCGCGATGCCGCCGTGGCGCCATCTTGTGGCGAGGCATGCAACTACGTGCCTCTCCTAACAACGTCTGTGCTATGTGCTCTCTTTTTCTCTCTTTGCAACTCGGCGCGCGCTTAAAAATTTGAGAACGGGCTTTCTCGCTGACGAACGCAGCCGATCGTGCTTGTAATTTGCCCACCGCCGGTTCTCTCTAGGTTGAAATAACCAATGTTTAATATTTCAAAATAGAAATAACGAGTTGTTATTCTATTGAAATGTATAGGGTTTTGCCGGGACCTCTGAACAGGGACGAATTAAACGATAAGTTGAATTAACCGAGGTCGAATTGGTGCCAGTCGACTGTAATGACTTTGAGAACAGCCTTCCAATTCCAAAAAGAGGCAAAAATAGTTAAAAAGCGGCAATCACTCGTTGTTTCTCATAGTGCTGCCTCCAATACTCAGGAACAACTTTTCTTGGCAATGCAGTGGAAGGAACAGGCACGCATTCCCTCTCCCATTTTGAGCGCTGAATAAAGCTGTGCACGGGCTCTCCTTCTCTCCTCAAAAATGCCAAGAAAAGTTGTCGCGGAGTATAGTATCACATTGACAGTTTCGTTTGTGATTAAATTTTGTTCTTACACGCATTTTATTTCCTGTTACGACATTTAAAAAAAAAGACTTTCAGCCTTTCCAGTCTGGTGAAGAAGGAAGACCAGCGAAGCTGTACTATGGTGGGACGACCTCAAGGACTTCTTGCACGACCTCAAGGACGATGCCTAGAGGACAACGTCTAAGACGACGTCTAAGACGACCTGAAGGACGACATCTACGACGACCTCGAGGACGACTTTGAGAGGATGACGCTTAGGACGATATCAGAGACGTCTAGGACGACCTCAAGGACAACATCAACGACAACCTCAAGGACGACTTGTAGGACAACCTCGAAGACGACGTCTAGGACGACCTTAAGGACGACCTCGAGGACAATGTCTAGGACGACCTCAAGAATGACTTCTAGGATGACCTCAAGGATGACGTCTAGGGCGACCTCAAGGATGACGCCTCGAGAAATTCAGCCTTTTTACTCTGGTGAAATCCAGAGTGGAAAGGCTGGAAAGGTTGCCGCCATCTAAGAACAACTGCAGCAACCAGACAACCGGCAAGTTATCTGGTTCCTGCCGTTGCTCACAGATGGTGGTAGCTATCCAAAGTTTTGCGTCGACATTTATTTGGTGACGGACATGAAACTGGGGAAGCTAGCCCTTCACAGCTCCGCTGTAAAACAGTTTCCACCCATGGCAGCTGTGGGCTGTGCACCCTGCATATTTATGGCCTCTCGCTTTACACGCTTCTTTCTACGCTAAGGCATAGAGACGAGCCCAGACGCGTAAAAATGTGTGCCTGCACGTCGTGTATCGAATTAAAACATAAATGCGGTGTTATTCTAGAGCAGAAAATTAAACAAATAAAACGGCGATTATTTTTATAACTTCTGCGCATAACATTGACAAGCCGCGTGCATATAAAAAAAAAATTTAAAATTTTTCTTACAGCTTAGATACATTCGAATCCCGCTACAAGGAAGTCAACAGCACAAGCAAAATTTTTTGTCGTGGGAAATTCCTTGAAATGGGCATGAAAGTGGCAAACAACAGTAATGTATAAGTAGTGGAGGCAGATGATGAGGCTTTAACAACAAAAATCCCCGCACATTAAAGAAGCACCTTCCAACCAGAGCTCGGCATTCTGACGTCCTCTCTCATCTCCTCTCCCTCAGCTTCTGCCCGCATTGCACCGCAACTTTGTCGTCATGGGCGCCGACAAAGGTTCTAATGCCTTGGAAAGCGGCCTTCACTTCGGACGCGAGAGCTGGAGTTTATAGAGTGCTGGGCAGCATGGTCCTCATAACTGAAAGAAGTGCAATCGCAAAAGCTTTTAATTTGTTCACCTTTCGTTTTTTTTTCACAAACCATCGCATCTTTATGAGCATCAATGCCGACAAAGGCGTGCCACTTGCTGCTAACATGTGTCCTACTATTCGAGAGAAAGAAAATTTCCATGCTTATATAGCAGCACCATCCAGTTGCATTTGTCAGCGTTTGCCGATGAGAACGACCTGTTTCTGTTTCAAGCCGTGCTTCAAACTGCTGCCGACTGACAACCACGCACTACACGGGCTGTCAATGCACCACTGATGGCATCTTGCACAAATCTGACTCGGTTTAGCTCGGCTCGACTCGAGCCCAAACATGATGTACACCAGCGTTTGCAGGAAGTTCGGAGGCCCTGAAGCAGTGTGCTTTCGAGCTCCCCTGCATCGTCATCAACGTCCAACAATGCTTACGTTTCGTTTCTAGCCCCCAAGCAGCAGTTTGTGTGGCACCTGCGCTTTCTTTGGCCGTTTAGCAACATCGCGAGACGCAAGATCACGTTGAAAACATTTTTATACTTATTTAATTCGTACGAGTTAATTAATTTAGGATTAGTGTCTGGTTGAGAAAAATTTGTCGAAGCAAGGCGGCATTCGCAAAGTTGTTTGTTGAGGAGAGAATTTTTGTGCATAATCTTATATGGACAACAAACGGGGAATCGAAAATACTTTGTCGCAAAGATTTCATTAAAGCGGCAATCGCTCTAGTAGGATTCAACCGTATAACAAATTCCGGATATAGCAAACATATTTTAGACTGCCGTCTCGTCATAGCCGGGCTCGGCTGTATGTCATCAGATCCGAACAGTTTCCGCAAACCAGAAACGTGTAAAGCATTGCAATTTATAAACTACCGATCAGAAGGTGTAGAAAACTGGTAAAAATTTAATTAGCCTAGCTCTAGTCGTTATAAAGCTAGACCCCAGATGCAACCAAGCCCCGCCCTTCGTGCACCGCACAAAGCGGAAATGAACCAAGCTTCCGGATTCCTCACACAGAGGAATCCGGAAGCTTGCTTCATTTCCTGGGTGGCGGGTTGGTAGGCGCACCCGCGTACGGGTTTTAACCTTTCTGCACAGTTGTGCACGCCACCCAGGATCAGATTTTTGTATGCAAATAAATATTATTATTATTATTATTAGAACCCTCGATGCGGACACCGCCGTGGGAGTGCTCACCGTCCTCGCTGGAGGAACCAGCGCCGAGCTCGGCGGCGGCGAAGTCGGCGTCTCCGCCCTGCTGGCTGCTGCTGAGACCGCCCGGGGTCCTGGCCGCCGAGCAGGAGGGCCGGTCGTCCTCCCAGCCGTCCTCGCTGCCGTCGGAGAGCAGGTCGTCCGAAGGCAGGGCGATGCCACTCAGACGCCCGGTGGCAACCACCGCCTCCCCAATCGTGTCCTAAAACAGACGGCAGTAGTGCAGTGTTGCGCATTGCTTCGTGGATATTTTGTTGCACAGATGAACTTGGTAAGCATTTTGTGCCTCGACAGCAAAAGCGTTGTCGTGCACGCCGTCTCTCGAAGTCCCGCCAAAGCTGGTGCCCCGGCTGGAGAGGAACGCAAAATCGCCACCTCTAACAGTCCCTAGGTTTCATGCAATTGTCAGAAGCTTCAATTGTCATACCGAAAATGAACATCTCTATATTTTGACCTCTTCAATTATCCATTTCTGAATGGGATTCCTTTCCCGATAGCATTGTCATAAGTCAGGAATAATCCGGCCTCGGAGGCACACCCGCAACTTTCCTAAAAACGTGGAAACCTTCCTATTTTTTTTTTTGTCTTTTCCATTTTTACTTTTTTAAATTTGATTTTCCATTCCCTTTATGTGAAGGACTATGTATAATACTGAATCAAGTAAAATACTGTTGTGCATCGCTTCCTCTGAAGCACATGCTCTTTCTTTCCGGCAAACTCTTCCATCACATGTGCGAGCGCTTTACACCCCGTACATGACAAAGCTGTAGTGCTAGATTTTCTATGTCATGTGCCAGAGGCCAGCATGGCAAAGAGACACGTGTTGTTCTTCCATTTCAAGAAATATGTTACAGGAAGCTGCTAGAAACCAATCATTACATTGTTTTTGAAAATCTTCAAAACCCTTCTTTTTGTATTTGTACACTACAGCAGCCTCCTTATAATTCAATCCTCAGAATAACGAGCTTTTTAAGAAAACCAACAAGTTTTAAGAGCACGCGGAGTCTCCTTTATTTTTTTATTTGCAAAATACAGATGGCGCGCAAGATGTGGCTCAGTCGTCGACGCATTGCACCATCGAGAAGTCATCAACCCAACTACCGTAATATCCCGAGTCATTGCCCATTCCCAAGCCATCGCCCACCCCACTTTTTAGAGAAATATTGATTTCCAAAAAAAAATTGCGGTGGCTTAGCTCGGCTATGCCAGGATATACGTAGCGTGAGCATATGCGCACAAAATGTGAGGCGCTATCAAGCGGCTCCGGTGCAGCGTCAGACTTGGCTACTGCGCAACGGAGGCGCAGAGCTGGGCACGCGGCAGCGCCAGTGCGTCTGCCGCGGCTATGACGTCACTCCTCTGGAATGCGCAGACCGGCGAGGCGCGCGCGGCGGCGGCGGCTCCAGCGTGCCAGCTGTGCGCCGTGCGACGTCGCTGCTCCTCGCGCATGCACAGCACGGCTCTTTGGGAGCCACGCAAAACTGCTCAACCCCGGCCAGTGTAGCTCACGCTACAAAAACGCCGAGGGATCACCCAGCCCTGCAAATACCCCAACGCGGACTCTGCGATCCACGAACATTCATACCACCCGAATGACGCAGCCACGGACCTTACAGTTGCAGGTCCGTGACAAAGTAAAACGAAGGAGGGAAAAGCACTTCACTTTGTTTACGTACTTCCTCCCCAATTTCTGTGACCGCGAAGTCGGAGTACAGGCGCACAAAAGGAAACCAATGGAGATAACAACATGAAACTTTGTTTTGCTTACAAAAAAAGTTTGGAGAAAAAAAATTTGGAAAGATAACACAAGCAGTAACACATTCAGGGATTGCGACATCAGCGAACAGCCCATATTTTGGAATGTAACCGCGGAGTGTAAGGTGAAAGATGTAAGGTCAAAGTCCGTCTCTATTGAAATACAGTCCCCACGAACTCGCTCCTGCTCCCAGAACATCAGAACCACGGTTGGTAAGGTTGTGCAATGTTTTTGACACAAAGCCAACAAGTAAATAAAGATTTGCTTGAATGCCGCATAGAGACATTTGTAAAGCGTCCCATTTTGAGCTTTGGTTCATGATGCCATCCACGCCACGCAGCAACACCGCCTCAACCTACGTTGATAGCACGCCGCGCACATGTATACTCGAAGAAAGTTGCACAAGAGCCTGCTCCTTGTGATTGACAAGGTACCCAACTTGGCCCAACGCCAAAGTATTTGCCATCGTGAAACTTTCCCGCTTCCCCAGCATACACCCTTCATCGCTTATTCCGCCAACTCGCTCACTTGTTGCACCTGGTTAATTTTTTTATCTTCTTGTTGGTTCTTTTTTTTTCTTTACTAACCAAGAGAACATAGTGTTGTTAGAAACGTGCTTTCATGAAACAAACGTGCGTGCCGTATGCCAATCGGCGGCGTTCATCCCACGGACGGAAGCAACGGACTTTGCGATAGTGAAGCATTCTTTTAAGAGCATTTCTTGCATAAAACAATGAAACTGTTTTGAGTTTAATGTATATCTCGTGCAGTCACACTAGATATGTACAGAAATATGGCAGTTTTTTAGCTTCTTCTAAACTTTTTGTGCTTACTCACCGAGACATGGCCCAGCCCAATTATTTTATGAATTTCACGAGACAGGGGGTGGGCGATATTACAGTAGACATCTTTAAAGTGCACAATAGAGTTAAAGCTCTCCGAAGCAATAGGTAGGCAGCAGCGTTCACTTTACTTGTCACTAAACGCTTTGTGCCAAATTTACTGCTGAAGCGAATTTTCCACATCACGGACGCATTCGGCGCACAGACTGAAACGGAGTATGCACGCGCCAAGGAACATAGAGAACAAAGTTGAACTGCCTAACTACGTTACGACCTCTTCGTCCTCTTCATGGGCAGCGAGCGGGCGCCCTCTCAGGAAAAGCAGAAACCTAAAAAATAAAGAAAACAAGCACCAATTTTTTTTGGTTGAGTGAGAGCCGTGGTCAAAACTGCAAATGAAGTGTGAAGTAGACGTCCCACATATTTGGACTATTTGACAAATAAAGAGACTATCAAGCTCGTAGGAGCTGCAGATGCAAAAAAAGGCCCAATTGGGTGTTTGAGCTCATATTGTCTGTGGGAGTAGATTCTAACAAATACAAATAACTGATCCTAAATGCATGCCTCTTATTTAAAAAGTGGTAGAGACTTCCAGATACTACATGGAATGCTGTATTTAAGTGAATGCAATGTTTTAATTTTATGCCTCGTGTCACGACGTCATGTGACCTAATGTCATGTCATGATGTGAAGTCATGACGTCCCATGGTGTAATGTAATACCGCGACGTTTCAATGTCAAGTCATGTTGCCACATGGCATTAAGGAAACACTGCGAGGGAAAAAGTTTTTTCCTAAATAACATTTTTGGGAAGCTTTTTTTTCTTAATAAAAATGTTCCGCAAAAATAAAATATTTGCGCAATATTTACGTTGTTAGACGCAATTTAGGTGCAGAAGGCGGAGGTTGCAGCCTGCTAAGCCCCGCCCTGTTCTTACAAGGTGTTTACTAGTGCCACTAGATAAGCTACGCTTCAGAGTAACGACACTTGGCCATATTGTGTCGTAAAATCATGGTTGCCAGTTATCTGAAGCTTTATCTGAAATCACAGGAAACGCCTTTCCGCCCTCCACAAATCTTTAAATAGTTCGTGACAGAGCAAAGCAATATTGCGTGACCTTTCCACAACCGAATCTAAAGCTGAAGAAGTCGCACTTTTGAATCATGACGATCGGCAGTTGCGCCTGCTCTGCATACGAGCCAAAATGGCGGCGCCCACAACAATGCCGGGGAACGGAGTGCCGATACTCTAAGCGCAGCTCATTTAGTGGCTCTAGTGTTTACAATCGATGTGAGCACGGATGCTAGACAAGGCTAGACCCTAAGGAGCTTCGCCCTTAAAAGACCTCCACTTTTTCTTTTTTTTTTTTTTTCAGCTGCACGTTACACGTTTGGTTATTTGCTTTCGCGGCGTTGGTAGGAACTAAGAACGAAACAGAGGAAAGGAATGACGTAGTCCCAACTCACATTGCCCGGTAAGTAAGAGTCGCACGCTGCAATCTGCTACGTGCTAGCAGTGTGTGACTTTTTTTGCTTTCGCCTTTCTTTTCCCAGTGACTTTGGCAGGCTATTTGTTTGCTCGTTTGGCACAGCAGTTCAAAAGTACATCCCAGTACTTGTTGGCGTACATGTCCAGGCAATCCTTGCACACCGTGCTTTTGTTATGAGTGTTGATCAGCAGCCTCAAGTGCGCTTTCAGCTGAACTCTTGTTTGATGAAATATTTGTCTGTTGAGGCGTCAGTGGTGATTTTGCAGCCAGACTTGGATAGCTGTTTCAATTTAATTCGAAGAAACTTAATTACTCACGTTTGTTCGGTCTTCGGGAAGCGGAAGAAGGATTTCCCACCACATCAGAAAAACTTGCTTTCGCAGTGAAGATGGCAGGAACACGGCATGCCTGCCATCTCCAAGTATGCGCTGGTGTATGCCCGAAGGCGGCCGGTTGATCGACAAAGGGTGACCCATAGCAGACGTTCCGGCGTAGACAAATAAAATCCAAATACAAATGTATAACGAGCTTATACTTCTTAATATATTTATTAAGCATCAAAAAGTGCATATGAAGATTTCGGATCAGACGACAGTGAAAAAAAAAATAAATACAAAGAAACAATAACTACAAAGTTGCAGACAGCTCTCCAAATGTCCGAGCATAGCGTAGCGGACGAACCGGCGGTAGTAAGCGACGAAGCGAAGGAAAGAAAGTAAAAACTAAGCCAAACAAGCAAAATATGCGATGGTTTGAATGTCAAGTAAACAAGAAAAAAGCAAACAAAAAACAAACGCAGGAGGAAGAAAGACTGCAGCGGCGTAGCGTCGCCTCAAACATAAAAAGGAAGGAGACCGAAAAATGAAAGGGGCACAACTGTCCAAGTGCTTTTTTCTTTTTTTTCTTTTCTTTTTTTTGTAGCTTTGTTTTTATTAGTTTCAGTAATAGCATCAGATTTGCATGCGCACAATCGACTTCTTCCAGAGCCTACTGACATCGCAGTAGCGTACGTGGTTCGAAATCGCCTTTTGCTTCTCCATCCGGAGACAATCGGGATTAGCCAGCTCGCCTATTCGACGAAAGGTTTTAAGCAATGCCAATCATGAGAAATTGGAATTTCAACAACAAAACGAATTGATCGATAAAAACAGTAAAGTTGAAACGTAGCAATATTCTAAAAAAAACTTTACATTGCCCTTCTTCAAGAAACAGGGCAAGGGTACATTTGTGTTTTGCATGGCCTACGTAAGTTCGGACAGAGTGTTTTCTTCAGGAGAGCCCGAAAGTTGCACCCTACGAGCTGTAACATCTTTCCCACACAAAGAAAATGTCCTTGACTCATGAGGTGGAACCTATTTTTTACCATTCAAAGCAGCGAATACCCGTGACAATTTTTTTTCATTGGTCGCCTCGCGTGGAGATAGGCAAAACCAATGCATTGTGGAGAATTCGTCTGCTAGTGGAGACTCCGAGCTCGCCAGGGGCGCTGCGATCACTTTTCGCCCGCAATTCGCGGGAGTTGCCAGTATTGGCTTGCATGGTATTTTGTGGAACTATGGCGGTTGGCACAATACTGCAACTTTCCAAATCTGAAAGAAGATGCTGTGCAATCGCCTTTGTATGTGGGCTGATGGACGACAACCTTAAAAATCATCTGTTCGCTAGATGGCGACACCATACCACTCGATACATAATAGTGACAGACGACTCTCATTAATTCGAACCGCAGAATCATCCGAGTTTGGATTATTGTGAGTTCACTATACTATTCAATGATGTTGACCGGTTTCCTGACATGACCTGCCATGGCATATGCACATATGCATGGAGGAATGGTACAACAAAGAGAGGAAAATGACCGACGTTTCGAGGGGATCCGAGCGTATGTTGCGGCTCCACCCTCCTGGCGCCCCAGGACAACTCACGTAAGCTACTGGCTTCTTTGGGAGTGTTTTCCTCAGAGTACGCCGTCGCTTCTCAAATTAGGTTTCTAGGGACACGGGGATTCCTCGAAGCACCCACATCAGTTCCCCCAAGTTCCCCAATTTCCTGCCCTCCTTGCAGCTAAGTAAAGTTCTTACAGTTTAAGCACTCTTTCTGGCTGATCAGAGCCATTTCTTCCACTCTGCAATGCCCTTGATGTCCGAAAAAGATTAATAAAAAAATTAACCATCGGGTTGTTTAGGAGCACTGCAAAAGTAGATAAATAAATAATGCACCCTCGTTTGTGTGTTTTCCACTAGTCCGTCTTTTTCTTAGCTGTTTTGTATATTACTAAACACTCCCTCGAATGTGCCTCATTGTTGCCAAGATCTGTGGGCTTCTCCGTTGCTGCTTCATTTTATCTGTGCTGGCACAGGCAGGGATCCCTCGGCTTTCAGTCAGACTCGAGACCAATGGAGGACCTCTGCAATACCCTACTGCAAGAATGTCAAGGCGGAGACCACCGACCTGTCTGGGAAGCTCCTGCAGAAGAAGGGCCCCCAGCGACCGGGGCAGGGTCCCCGAGAGCCAGTGCCAGAGGGGCCGGCCCTCCTCCTTCGGGGGCAGGCCCTCCAAGTACGACAGGAGTCCGTACAGCAACTCTGCCCACAGGTGCTGCTGCTGCTGCTGCCTACAGGGGGCGCCAGCAGAGGCCGGGAGGCTGTCCCGGCCCTCGGCGAGCCTGGACACGCACTCCTGCAGGCAGCCCTGGAGGGACAAAAAATGGACAAGTGGAAGCTTGGGAACAACCGTCATGAGTTCAGCAAAGTTTTTAATTAGGCATGGTGCAGTAGTGAGAGGTGGGAGGAAGTGTTTGATATTCAATTAGAAAAGTGAAAGCCGTTTACAACTCCCTGTAACACCGAATTAGAGCGCAGCTCTTGAGGAGGAGGAGGGAAGGGTACTGGGGGGGTGAAGTGACCTGGGGGGGGTCACGTGACCTTGGGGGGTCACGTGACGATGCCGATCATGTCATCAGTGACGTCACTGATGACGTCATCCGTGATGATGACGATGACGATGCGGATGCCGGTGACGTCATCAGTGACGTCACTGATGACGTCATCAGTGATGATGATGATGACGATGCGGATGCCGGTGAGGTCATCAGTGACGTCACTGATGACGTCATAAGTGACGATGACGATGCGGGCTCCGATGACGTCATCAGCGATGATGACGATGACGATGCGGATGTCGGTTAAGTCATCAGTGACGTAATCCGTGATGATGACGATGACGATGCGGATGCCGGTGACGTCATCAGTGACGTAACTGATGACGTCATCAGTGATGATGACGATGACGATGCGGATGCCGGTGAGGTCATCAGTGACGTCACTGATCACGTCATCAGTCATGATGACGATGACGATGCGGATGCCGCTGACGTCATCAGTGACGATGACGTCATCGAGGAGGTCACGTGACCTTGGCGGGGGGGTCACGTGACCCTGGGGGGTGGTCACGTGACCCTGGGGGAGGGGTCACGTGACCTTGAGGTGACCTTGGGGGCCACGTGACCTTGGGGGTCGCGTGACCTTGGGATGACCTTGGTTACGCCGACGCCGCTCAAGCCGGGAACGGGCCCCTAAGAGCTGCGCTCTAAAAAATGTGAGCAGCCAGGAGGTACACCCCATGGTGGGGTAATCAGACAGCAATAACAAAACTGACGCAAGAAAAAATGAATGCCAAAATCGCAAAGCGGATCGTCGTTGAAAACCGATAGCATCTTACAACGTCGTGTAACGTGTTGTTGCGACACAGGCTGGGGATCTCAGCGCTACTGAGGCTTGCCTCGCACATCGTGAGGCAAGCCTCACTAGCACACAATCTAGGCCACAAACCGGTCTACCAACTTCTCAAGGAATACTTTGAATGCAGCCTCGCCAAGCGATGCTATCCCAATGCTCGTGCCCGTCGGGAACCACAGGCGGTCACACACGCCACACATCATAATGAACGAGTCATTGAGAAAATGCTCCTCAAGGTAGTTCTCAGCCAACAAGTATGTTTGTATTTGCTCGTAGTTGCGCCGTTCCATTCCCAATGCTTGTATCGCCTGCACTGTGTCTTGCTCGCATTGCAGCCAAAATTGCTTTCCTCGTCCGCTTTGTGCCAGACGTCTTCACCTGCTTGGCGTTCCGCTTGCATTGTAGCCAAAGATGCTTCTTTTCCTCCGTTTAGAAAAAAAAGTCTACCTATTTGCATTGTACCCCACGTTGCTTCTCTTCATCCGTTTAGAAAGGCTTTACGTGCTTGCCGTCCTGCTCAAGTTGTAGTCGATGCACCATATTTATTAGAATATCAATAAATTTTTTTGGAAATGTAATATAATAAAGGTTGATCTATTATCGTGACCAGAGAATTTCAACCTACATTTGTGACCAAATTTAGCGACCTTATTGACTGCATGGAACTATTGAGTCACTGAGCCGGGGTCGCCGTAGCACCACGCCACTTCTGGTTTCGGAAAGCTTTTGGTGCACGAAAACAAAAGAAACAGCAGCCGGCGGCCTGCCGTGGCCGCCACTCGTACACGTTCCTCGGGCATCAGGTTTCGCGCCTGGCGGCAGCTGGTACCACTCACGCTTGCCCCTTGCAACGGCAGGGGGGGAGGGAGGGGGACGTGCCATGCACCCTGTCCCCTCCCCTCTACCCCTCCCTTCCTCGCGGACGCACAGCAAAACAGAATACGGAATAATGCGGATTCTTGGGCGAGTTGGTACTGAAACTTGGAGAACATAATAGCGCTTCACGACAGGGACGAAGGGTAGGAACGAGACAACACAATGCGCTACGAAGGGTAGGAACGAGACAACACAATGCGCTACGAAGGGTAGGAACGAGACAACACAATGCGTAGCGCATTGTGTTGTCTCGTTCCTACCCTTCGTCCCTGTCGTGAAGCGCTATTATGTTCTCCAAGTTTCAGAATACGGAGGTTACTTTCATTTGTTGTTGCACACGGCGGCTCACACGGCGTTGCTCACATCTTTGCGTTTGGTCTTCAGTCACTTCGCCCGTCTCCACCTTATTTCATTTCTTGTTGTTGCCATTTTGCAACGGTGTCAGTAAGGTATTGTTGCGAATTGGTGAGGATGTCGATGAACCTGACGAAGCTGTTGATGAACCTGCGACAACGATGACATGTCCGAAAGTTCTGATGATGATTCACTTTTTGGCTTAGCGCAGTCATTTAGCTGAGAGTGCCGTAAATAAAGATTTGTTTCTTTCTTTTGCCAAAAACTTCCTCCGTTCTTTAAAGAAAAAAAAAAAAGGTAGACCTATATAGTTGAGCTCTTTTATATCCCACCCGGGTATTTCGAATTATTGTTTATATCGAACAGTCCAAACATCCCCTCGAAAATCACACGTAATTGTATAGGAGCGGTGTTTTTCTATATCAAACTCCCACGGCGGGGACACTCGATATAGCGAAGGAAGCACGGCAAAGCACAGCAAACGAGCACGGGGATACGCAGCGAAAGAGCAGATGTAAAAAAGAAAAGAGCAATGGTAAAACAAAAAGAACAAAAAAGTGGAGGATGGCAAAAGCAAGGGGAAGGGCACGCGTGCGTGCGTATGAAGGGAAAAGAGTGCCTGCTGCTGGAACGGCAGCATGCGCTCTTTTCCCAAACACCGCTGTAGGTGCGCAACTCCGTAGCCCCAAAATAAAATAGACAAAAAAAAGAATTCTTCGTCAAGAGGAGTGTGTCAAGAGGAGTGTGTCGACAGCAATGGTGGAGCAATCGCACTTTCAACGCCTTATCTTCCTTTACCTCTTTCTTTTGCCGTTTCTGCTTTGCACGCTTTTTCTTTTGTTGCTGCCTGAATTTAGTGAGGTTTCTTTTTTGTTGCTTGCTTAACTTTATTCTATGGATCAAGCTTCTTTTATGCAACTCGTTTTTTTCTTTTTTTCTAATGTTATTTTTGTGTTCTGTTGCGGGCGCTGTGTAAACGATCGCAAACACCGTGGGTAGCAAAAACGCAGCGATGTTTGTAATCTTCACCAACTCAGCTCTACTGTTTTCAGAGGCTCTATTTGGTAAGGTCCCGTTTGTCGCGATATTAGCAGAAACGTGCGGAAATTTCAAATGGAGCCTAAGTAAACACATTTTTGTATATCAAGTTTTCGATATATCGAACTATATTACGATCCCCTTTGAATTCGATATATCTGGGTTCGACTGCATCTGAATTAATTTTTTTTTATTCTCGGCGAGTTTAATCGTTGAACCTATACTTCTGGTCGACTTACATTCGAGTAACTCTGGTAGCTTCTCTTCATTATGTGAGACATCTTCACCCGCTTGACATCCCACTTGCATTGTAGCTAAAGTTGATTCTCTTTTCATCTGTTTAGAGTCTTCACCTGCTTGGCACCCTGCTTGCGTTGTTATCAAAGTTGCCGCCTCTCTTCCTCCATTTAAAGACGTCTTCACCGGCTTGGTGCACCGCTTGCATTGTAGCCGAATTCGCCTATCTTCCTCCGTTTTGCAAGACGTCTTCACCTGCTTGGCCTCCTGCTTGCATTTTTTGGCCAGTTGCTTCTCTTCATCCGTTGAGACGCCCTCATTTGCTTGGCATTCCACTTGCGTCGTAGCCAAAGTTTTCTTCTCTTCGTTCGTTTATGGCTAAACTTACAAGACAGATGGAATGACAATTTTCGTCCACAGACCGTATACCACGCGGCCGTCACGTCACCGATTCCTGTGATCCGCACCTTGTCTGCGGACCGAAATGGTCCAACGCCTTTTCACTCATGAAGTTTTTGGCATGTCTGACCTGAAAAGCATTTAGCCTGGCAACAATATGTTTTCTTTGTTTCTGGACAGGCGAAACACAGATGGCACATCACTATGTTTAGTGTATTCACTGGTTAATTATATAGTACGATTCTTGGTTCCATGCTTGAAAGAAGCCGCAGAAACTTTGCCCGGCTGACGCAACGCGAGTTCCAGAACTCCACCGGGTCCACGTCAACAATCTACTGTCAAAACTCGCCTAGCATGCCACAACTTTTCTTTAAACATGGTTAAAATCGCGCACAAAGAGACGAGGACAAACGAGGAAGGAACACAGAACACAGACAGGCGCGCTGTGTTCCTTCCTCGTTTGTCCTCGTCTCTTTGTGCGTGATTTTAACCATGTTCAACGTTTACCAACTTGCCCGACTTACTACTCTTCTACAACTTTTCTTGTGGCTGTGGTGTAGTGAAGTATTGTGTGCAAGAGTGGTGTGCGAGAAGGCATCTCTGAATGCCTTTCCGCAAGTCCAGGACTTCGTCGCTTCGACACTGAAGCCTCCTCAAGCACAACCATGCTTGTGTGACTGTCATGCCTTGGGTTAGTAAAGCGAGTGGCACTTCACACTAAGCTTATTATGATGCTCTGTCTCATGATGTATGTTAACAGCGGCATACATAGATATTGCTCTTGGACAACGGTGACACATCACAATATTGGAGTTTCGCAGCACTGTCGTCGTAGACGGCGTGGTGGAAGTTCATCGTTCCACGTAAAAGCGCTATCCTTTGCTTTGAATTTTCGTTGTGTGTCGCTATGATAACCCAACACATACTAGAAGGGGAGATCCACCTACTCGTGCGGCGATGTCGTGGCGGCACTCTCAAGACGGCAGAAACGCCCGTGTCGTCGTGTTTGTTTACTTCGACTGCAGTGGTGCTTTCTAAGCATTTGTGTTTTCGAACATCGTTCGGATTTCTTATTTGATGCATTTCATGCCTGTGCTCAAGTTGAAGGTATTACTGGCGCGTACCGTATGAAGGATGCGAATTTTTATGCATTTCCATCACCGGAAAAAAGTGATTAGGGTTAGCAATCCTGAACGCTCGCAACGTCCGTCCGCAACCCGCGACACCGTTAAAAGGTTGCGCCAGGCAAAAGTCGCTAATTTCTTTCAAAATGTGTGACACACTTGAGAGAGAAGTGTACTAGCCTGGTGAAATAAAGACTTCCCTCAAACTAAGCTTTATTTTTCATCTAACATAAAATAAATTCTTTTACAAAGGTAGGTTGTCTCATGGCATGTATTTTGGCCTGAAAAATTGATGTTTTGGTGATATAGCGCGGTACTGCTTATAGTGCGGATTTTCGCGACTCCCGCGACATACGTTATATGCGGTCTACACTGTAGTATGCTAGATACGACGACTTTAATTACTGAATTCCAATGCATCACCGTGGTGCACAGCAATTGCTAAGGATAACAAACTGATTTGCTAGTAGGCCACTTCAGAGCCAATACGTCCAATTACACCAGGCTTGCAGCCAACAATAATCTTTGCTCCATTAGTCCTGGACCGTGTGTCTGTTGGGGGGGGGGGGGGGGGGCTGGTCTGGTAGCATGTAATATTCACTTGCGAGCCGCATTTGGCCTGCGGGCTGCCAATTGCTGACCCCTGGTTTAGAAAAAACTGTTCACCTGTAAAGCGCCCAAAAAATGAGGACACGAGAAAGACGAGACAGGACCAAGTGCACTTCGTCCTGTCTCGTCTTCTTCGTGTCTTTGTTTTTTAGGCGCTTCACAAGTTAAACATATACTAACTAGCCCACCTATCCATTTTACTGTTCACCTGCTTGGCATCCCGAATGCGTTGTAGCCGAAGTTGCTTTTCTTCGTCAGTGTTGTCTGCTGCTTTCAAAATAGTCACCCAACTTGGTCGACATGGAGTGCTGTGCTCTGAACGCATTCTAGGCTGACTGAGTAGCAAAGATAAGAAGCACGAGCTAGCTTGCATTCTTTACCTTGAGACGAGTCTTTCTACTGCGTGAATCAAACGGATTGTTGGCCATCTCAAGGGACCGCACAAACCGGTCTCTTAACATATCGTGCTACGATTCACTAAAGAGGTGCTTGAAGGAGGTGGACCTTGTGTATCAAAATTTTACTGAACAAAGTTATCCGAGTAGAAAGTTAGAAATAAAAAAATACCTGCTTATGGTGTCCTTCTGCTAAGAAAAGAAGTCTGACAAGGGGGCACTTCCCTCGACCTTGTTAGACAATGTTTTTGGGCCAAAAGCGACACACTCTTTCTCAGTGCCAATTGTCAGTGCATGATTCTTTTATTTTTACCTATAAAGCAAAAAAATTAACACAAAAGGAGAAAAACAAAACAAATGCATGTTGTCTAGTTTCTTTAACTATTATTTTCAGCTACACTTCATTGTCTGTTTTGCGCTCCCATTCATTTTCTTGTCTGTAAAGAGGGTGAAAATGATACAGCAAAACACAAAGTAATGGCACTGTTTCCCAAGCAGCCAGTGTTTGTTTTGGTGGACTCAGCAGCCATCATAATTTGATATCGTCGCCAATGAGTAAGTTCCAATCGTACAAAAGTCAAAGCAAAAAACGATGGGTCCGTCCAAGTCCAACTTTAACAACTGTTTGTTCTCCTTCACGTCACCTTAACATCATTCACTGCACACACAAACAAAAGGAAGCAGGAGCACTCCGTCCTCCTCTGGAGCTCACCTGGAGTTGTCCGGTGAGCACCGTGGCAAAAAGAGCCTCCTGTTGGAGGGCATTGAGCCGCCACAGCTGAGCCAGCAACACAACCCCCAGGCCGCACACGTACAAGCAGAGCACCATCTACAACGGGACAGACAAGAAAACAGGCAGTGCAAGTAAATGCCCATAGGTCATCTTCCATGACATGACCACTTCACCCTCACGTCAAAGCTCCATTCCTGAATTACGAGGCACCAGATGGAACAGTTTCATATAGTACTCAGTGGAGAAGCTGCTAACAACGAAGCATATAGACTATTGACCAAGGTTCTCCACAACATGCTCCAGGGTTCCTTGAACACCAGCATTGGGAATATGCGACACCGAAAAGGGGGTGCACCGCTCCCCCTTAGCAGCCGGTTGGCTGTGGCCCGTATGGCCGCCACCGATTGTGGCCTTCAAAAGACACCAACACCCCCCCAAAATGCTTTTTCATTTCTTGCCAGGCGATTCATTATGGTTGTCAGAAGACTACTCAATTAATATTTTGCAACAGTCATATATATTTTTAATAAAGCAAAAAACAGAACTGCTCGAAGCTGAAACCTCCACACGGAGGTCGGAGAAATATGGGATGAGAGAGAGAGCCAAAAGCCACATAAGTACACCCAGCCGCAAGTTCTTTTTTTTTTGTGCGCAGCAGACGAAATGTATTGCAGAAATCGTTTGCTGTGCGATTCCTTTGCAGTTATGTTTGTTCTGCTCGCTGTTTTGTACTTCAAAATGAGTTTTGTACATTGAAGAGTTAGAAATGAGTAGTGAGGGCCCGTGGTGAATTCCCGTGATCGGCACCCGAAAGGAATACCCCCAAGATGTTGCGTGAAGAGCTGCCTCACATGTCCTGCTCCTGAAAGTGGCATTGTGCGGCAGAGTCTGCACAAGTATCCGAGAGATCAACGGGTCGGGATCAATGGCTGGCTGCCATTCCTGCAGAACAGTTACGGGCACCTCGGAAAGCGGACACGACCCGATTCATATGTTCCTTGCATTTTGTGGAGAGTGACTACAGCGAGTTCGCAGGTGTCGAAAAAAGATTCCCATACCATTTAGTTCAGTGACGTATTGTCCACAACATTTGTTTTTTCAGTGATAATTGTAAAGACAGACAGGTAAATATCACAAAATGTAAGACCAAAAAAAACAAGGTAAGCCCACACTAGGAATTGAACCTGAGCCGCTGCGTGTGAGGCGGACATCTTTCCACTGAGCTACAGGGGGAACTCCTCGTAGTAATGCAGCCGGTCTACTGTAGGTCGGAAAGTTTGCTGCGGATTTCCCTCCAGCAAAGGCACTCCTGGCTCAAAGTTAGGCTGCGCCACGCATAGCGCACATTCGCATCTGGTAAAGAAATTGTATGCGTGCATATTCAACTCAAAGTTTGCACTTCGTGCTTGACGTTTGCACGAGCGATGTCTTCAGACACGGGAAGGGTCGACGGCTCGGCGATGTCTTGGTGCAATCGGCTTGGTGGTCGGGCGTGTCGTACGGGATAAATGTCAGTTCTTTCGATTGGTCCGAAATTTCTCTTTCGAAGGAAGACAGATTTGTTGGTACTGCGAACGACAGTTCTGAAGTAGGAGTCCCACATCCGCCGTATGCTGCCATCGCCGTCCAGCCCGCGAGACCCACGATACGCAATACGACGCCTTGTTGAGAACTTCGCAGTGAACGCACAGAATGCTTCTGGTTCTTTGTGCAACTTTTCTTTCAATCAACATATTTGCAGCTTTTTGGAAGCCACAAAAAAAAAAGTTTCGTATTTTTTTTTATTTTTAATACTGAGTGTGTGCTTTCAATGACCCACTCCTTCGATTAAATTTGGAGGTTCAGTCTAAACCTTAGAAAACGGCCCGTGACCACGGAGAAGAGAGTGAGCGCAACTCAAAGCGGCCAGTTCTCGATCGGTGATTTCCGGGTGGAGAGAAACCGAATTTCGATCCGCAAATTCTGTTCTAAGTAGTTGGGCTCCCATATGTCACATACAACTAAAAACCTCGACGAGCATAAATACCCTGTCAGTGTCCCTTTAAAGGGATACTCCACCGATTTTTTGAGCTACCTCGACTAACTATATTTTCTGACTCCCCGGCCTTTAGCCTTTCCGGTATGCTATTTAGCGTCGCGAAATTCATAATAGGTATTGTGAAATCGGCAAATGAAAATGGTGCAAAACCCAATATTCAAATATTTGCGCACTTTTCAGTGCCGTGACGTCAGTGGCAGGCAGGCTTGCCAGTCGAGCAAGTCGTCTAAAAATAGAATATGCCAATCATTTGTTCCGTGCTGGAGCGCGGATACGGGAGCGAGCTTCCAAAGCACTCATTTGACACCATGAAACTGCTTCAAATCCGTTGGGAACAACTTCTGTAGTCCAAAAAGTTAACCCCTGCCTTCCACTGACGTCACTTTTTCATTGTTGCCAGTAGAGACTTTCAGTTTGAAAAACATTGTGAAGACCAAAACTGTAAATTCAATAACTTTGCAAAAAAACAATATTTTGACCTAATATTTGGGATACTATTTTAGCAATGTTTGTTGGTTAGTTTAGCAAAATTTCAAGCGAATCGGAGACAATGAAAAAAACGGTGGAGTATCCCTTTAAGGGGGGACATGGGCCAAAGTTTTTATTTTTTTGAAAAAATTCATTTTTCAATTTTGACGTTTTTAGTTTTAGAAACTAATTATACACCCTTACACCAAATTTGATAACCATACGCCAAATATTTACGATGATATAAAATATTTTCAACAGTTGTGAGGCAGTAACAAAGTAAAGGAGTTCAATGTTTGAACGCATTTTTCTCAGTTCCACTTTTTGCTGCAAATTTCATACGAAGGAATCTTTTGTTCGAAGGTGAAAGTGTTCAGATACCACAATCAAGATGTTTCTGAACTGAACTTTACTGGGGAATCGGGCTATCTACTTTATTTTGTTTTAAGTTAAAGTCCTCAGTGATAAAAAGCCAAGTTTTCAAAAACTGACATAGGACAGATTTGCATCTCATATTTTGAGGTAATCACTCTTCCTGAAATATTTACATTTGAGTTATAAAAACTAGATAGCCCGAAGTGCCACATCCCCCACTTTATATTCTAGCAGTCAAAATGGTGCTTAATAGCTTCATTTGCATATCATAGATTTCTTAACAAAGAGTTACACATTTTCTTATGCAGGTATGTAAAATTGTCCTGGAGAGCTGAAAGTTTGCACAGTACACCTACATCTGACGTTAAATCTCCTCTCTAAATTTCATTCCAAACACTTGAGTAGTTAAGAAGTTTGACCTCTAGCCAGTGTCCCCCCTTAAACGTATAACGCTGTGCAGGTAAGCCAGTGGTTCTCAAATGGCAATCAGCAGCCCCTTTAAGGCTTTTGTAGGACTTTTGGGGCCCTCAAAGGCCCCAAGCATCGATCAAACCAAGCAATTAAAACACTTTTTTTTCTATTGATGCTGGTTGTTTTATAAGGCTTAATAAGCTAAACCACGTGAGCCGAGTGAGTAGGTTTCATTACTTTCCATTTTGGAGCTTCAAAGTTGGTTTGCAAGCATTTAGGTTTTTTTTTTGGTTTTTCTTTCATTTAGTTTTTTGTAATTGTAAACCTCTAATACCCCCCTTCCCCCAGTGGATGGCATCCCCCATCCCTTTTGCCGGTTCTGAAGGGGTTCCTGAAGCATTAGTGGTTGAAAACCACCGAGGTAAGCTGACATTGATTACAAAGTAGGCATGCTACGCACAATGCATATGCAGAACACTTCTGTTAGAAGCCGCATCACGGCACCACTGTCTTGTCACAAGCTTCCAGTTACCTCAATTAACCATAACTAGGGTTTAGCGTTTTCGCTTTCTAAAGCATGAAACCCCCAATCTTAAAGTTTCATCTGTCTGCGCATTTTCCGCTAAATTTAGTGGAAAAACTGAATTGGTGTTCAGATAAGGTGACGTCAATTGATGTCACTTGACTCGACGTCGTATTATCTATACACCGATTAAGTTTCTCCGCCAAAGTCGTTGGGAAAATCAGTACCCTGTGACCTATACAGTAATATCTCGTTAACTCGAACACGGCTATCTCAAAATAGTGGTTAGTCCTAAAATTTCCTCGTCATGGAATGAGCTCCCATAGTAACAATGCATTTTGTCCTTGCTCATCTCGAAAGGGTTTCAGGACGGACTTCAGATATCTCAAACTGTCGTCAACGAAAATCGTAAAAAAAAACAAAAAAAACAAACACAATAAACAACAAAAACTGCCAAGAAAATATATGCGCAAGCGAGAAAAAAAAAAAGAAGATAAGTGCGTGTGCGGTGCACGGAGACGCGGAGAGATGTGCGACTCAATAACGTTTGTTGTCTTTTTTTTTTAACGATTCCCATCTACACAAGCCAATGGCAAGCGCCTGGCGCGTTCGGTGCCCCCTTTCCCTCCAGCGTTTTGTTCCGCTCTGTCTTTCATTTTCTCTTTGCTTCTGGGTTCTTCCATTTCCCTTCCCGGTCCAATCGTAGTCTCGTCAGTCTAGTGTTTCGCGGAGGTGTCTCGTTCGTTTGGAGTGATGGTGCTCTTTGTTGCTTGTCCGCCATTTTTTCCGGAGTGTTTCGATTGTCTCGCGGCACCATACGAGCAAGGGTCAAGTGTTCAATTCAGTCGTCAGTTGTGAATTCTCTGACCTTGGCACGTGACTCGACTGACCGTGATGATGGCGCAGCCTAAACAGTGCAAATCATCGACGCTTGAGGGGAAAGTTGCTCTCATCAGAGAAGTTGATGTTGCCGTGATTGTTAGAAGTTTTATTTAGAACATAACGCAACCAGAAGCAAAAAATTCCGGTACTTTGCTTATCGCGAAATTTCGCTTATCTCGAATTCTTTCACGGTTTTTATGACTTCGAGTTAACGAGGTATTACTGTATATACACCAATTCAGTTTCAGTTTCCCCACTTTATTCATCGGGAAAATCAATGTCACATATTGTGTGCACACAAATTCAGTTTCCCCGCTAAATTTAGCGGGAAAGTTGATTTTACGTGACCTGCGCTTTAAATCAGTTTCTCCGGTAAATTTAGCGCGGAATTTGATAAAATTAAAGGCTCTTCTCTCCCCAAAAGAATGGTTTTTAATGTCTTCTACACTTCAAACGATCCCTTCTCAAATACTGCATTCCATAAATTATACGACCTTGGAGATAAAGGTCAATGCCAATTTTGGTTTTAAAAATTGGCATATTTGTTTTTTAGGTTTTTTCGGTGATATATGTGGCATCTCATTCAGCCCAAATTCGTTTAGGGTCTTTCTTTTACACCGGGCTTTTTGTTAGCACTGGACAAATCTCTCCAAATAGTCGTGCTCAGCACGGTGCTGTCCCGGGGAGTGTGCAACTGCCACAGATGAAGGGGTGACCATTCGCAATCTAGTCAGTGATTGGGCCAAAGATTTAACGAGACAAATTTGTAAATACCATTTTTTTGTCAGAGTAGCATGCAACAGATTGAAACAATGACAAAGCACACAAGGAGAACTACAGATGAGGCGAATATCGACATTTGAGCTACCCAGGATGAACGAACCTTGAATTTCACTGGTAATCTAGACTGCAATTATGTTATATGATAACAAATCAACATATGTAATTTTAGAGGTTCCCTATATTAAAGCGCTCCCACTATTTTCTGTTGATAACTGTAGTGTTCAACAACCACTTCCCGCCATTTACCACGGCCACCCGATACTCCCCTTTGGACCAGCATTTACGCTCAAAACTGGCAAACTGCCAATACAATGTACTGTATTTACAGAAATGCAGGTAGACCCCCATTTTTTTAATTTTTGAAAATCGAACCAAAGCATTCCACTGCCGACAAAAACAAAACAATCGCGATATCAAAAACACCTCGGCTTGCTACGAGTTCAACCGGCTGTGCCTGCAGCATTGCGCTAATCTGCATGCTCATTTTACTATTTTTTACTTTTTTTACTTGCACGAACGAGTATTATTGACAGAGATTCGCAAGTTAACCCAAATGTACGGCGGTGAACAGCGCACCGCGCGTTCGACTCCCGGGGGGTGGTGGCACTTTTTGTAAGAGCCACTCTAGAGGCCGTTAGAACAGCCTCACGGCTCACTCCCTGCAGCGTCTTTTCGCAGTTCTTTGCACGATTCGCGGTCGCACGTCACTTGATCGAGCGTCGCGATCATGCTGGGCTCTGGAGTGCTAACTATGTTTTTTTGTATTGACACGCGTGACCCGGGCGGTTTAGGTTTTCGGTGCTTGTTTACGGCCATTCTTCACCCAGAAGCAACCGACAACTGTGCTGTTAAACGCAAGTTCGACCCGTCGGAGTGGGTGACCCTCCAATGGAGTCTGCAATGGTGGGGGATCTTAAAGTGTGATGGCAAACGAAGAGGCTTCCGAGGGCCAAAGCCTCGCAACGTACGCCGAAAAAAGTGCGCAATCGCTCCCTACCCGTAATGTGCAACGCGATCGCCGAGCATGCATGGAAGATGAGGTCATTTACAAAATGGAAGATTTCGTTAGACGACGCTGACAACATGCTTTGAGAACGTAGCGGTGATGATGACAAGACTGACATCATCACCAGTGCGGACGAGTCGTAGTCTAGTCGGGAACGGAGTGAGAACGACAGGAAGCAGCTTCAGTTGCCCCGCCTCCAGCGTGAACTTCCTAGTTTAAATAACGCCTGGGCATCTAAAGCACCTCGCATGCGCAGCCAAAGCAAGCCAGAAGGCTTTTGTTGGAGGCTCGGCATCTGAAACAGACACTTTGCCGTTCTCACATGTTTGCAGTAAAATCAGCCTCTAAATATGATTTTTTTTTTCTGATAAAGGGGGCTGACTTACAATCGTGTGCATATGGTACCACCACAGCAGCTAGAGCTTACCTGTAAGTCAAGTGCAGGCACCAAAATACAGCCAGCACCATGTTTTAAAGCACTGCATACTTCAGGTACTCGGGCAACTCTGCTTGCAATGCGCGAATCCCACAATCGATTCCGACAAAAACTCTTAAATGCCCTCATAGAATGAGAAGCTGTCGGACAGATTGGACAACGAAAACATTCAAAAACAATCTAAATTCTAACTCAAAAAGACAGTGAACTCGGCACACAAACCCCAATTAAAAAATAACAAAAACTTAACCCCCAAGCGATTGGTTACTCTCGATCGCCCCCAGCATAAAATAAGACAATACCGAAGATAGCTGACAACTTCATAAGTGAATTACAAGGTCACACTTCGCTCGCAGTTTTTGGTTCAACTCGTACAACCAAGCACCAAGACGGCAACACCCGACGAAGTGACGCGCCAACCCCTGCATTGTCGTCCGTTGCTGCTTGGGGATCCCTTTGGACGCAAGGGCGGCACGGGACGCCAGACGGACCGGTCGAAGACGCATTATGGGCGCCGTGGCCTCACGCAAAGTCCACCCACCTCACCGCCGTCGAGGAACGCACGGCACCGCTTGGCGAGCGCGTCCAGGGCTGCATCCCAGGCCGGACCCACGAGCGTCGCCGTGGCCGGGGCCCCTCCCGCGTCCCCGTTTTCCTCCGTCCCCCGCGGGGGGAAGTGCGCCAGGCTGCGACGAAGGAGCCCGCTCTCCAGGGCCGCTCGCCAGGGGAACGGGTCGAGCCGGGCTGCAAAGAGTGACGCACCCCTTCGAGCCCCTGGCACCTTTTGACCGTGCAAGTTCGCTCGGACGACTATTGTTGCATCTTCGCGTGTCTTGTATTGAGATGCGCGAATATTTGTTTGGGGTAACCTTGTCGTGAGGCATAAAGAAGTGTCCGAGATTTGCTCGTATCGCTTCTAAGATTAAAGATGCTGTAAACGAGCAAAACTTGGAGGGGCTCTTCATTTCTCTAAGTTTGGGAAGTGTGCGTTTCAGGAATATTCTACGGGCATAAAATTTTGAGATTGGGAATGCCATTGTCTGTACAGTAAACTTTCGTTAGTTTGACCTGGGTTAATTCAACTTTTCGTTTAATCCGATCATGTTCAAAAGTTTCGGCGAGTGCCCATACATTTCTACGGGAGGAAAAGTTTGATAGTTCGAACTCGGGAAGACTCTGCACCGGATAATTCGTCCCGAGCGATTGCGCGCGGGCTCACATTGCCAGCACCCCAGCAGAAAGACCGCCAAAGTATGGCGAAACACGGGCCCTTTGCTGCCAAACCGAACGTGCGCAAATATGCACCTGCTCCTCTACGCCGTTGAGACGGACCGTCGTGAATGACATCAGCCAGCGCAACTAATCTGGCGTGGAGTAGTGCGGAGAACATAGCACGTGGTAGGGTGCGGAAACAGCGCGCGCTCTCAAAGCGCTTTTCAGTAGCATCATGTGCGGTCTATCTCGCACTCCAGAAACGCAAATTCTTTTCCTTTCTTTTTTTTTTTTTTTTCTTTTTTTGTTGTCATTTTTTTTTGCTGCTGGCAGTCTGGGCGCACGGCGCCAAAGTAAGCTCGCAAGATTTGTCCGCGCACTCTTAAAGCACTTTTCTGTAGCATCATGTGCAGTCCATCTTGCGCGCCAGAAAGCGCAAATTCTTGTTTCCACCCCCTTTTTTTTTTTTGTTATTTTTCTCTGTTGCCGACGGACGACTGTCTGGCTGCCTGGCGCCAAGGTCTGGTCGTAAAACATATTTTTTCGTGTTTGTTTGTTTGTTTGTTAATTTGTTTGTTTTTTTAGTGCGCCGTTTTCCGGGAATGTGACGTTTAGTTACGCTGCTCTCCGAATGCTTTTGGAGACACGTTTTAAGCGCAGACGGCAGCAGACCATCCGTGAGTACTTTGGACAATAAAAGCAAGTTTAATTTTAACCGTTTTTCTGCCCTTTTTTTTAATTGGATCATTTCGATAATTGGACCAGATTTCAAGGCCCCGTCGATGTCGAATTAACGAAAGTTTACTGTAATCGTTATCATCGGGTAATATTCACACAAAAACCAAGTTTTTACAAAAAATGAGGTCCCGCACAATATTTAACAACGATTTCGAATATTTTCCCACTTTTATTTGACATTCTACAAGACACGACTTAGTAAATGAAATTGTTTTTCGGTCGACAAAAACAAACAGCGTACTACAGACACCTGAAACTCCGCGAGAATCTGATGCTAGTGGTGCTGATAGAATGTGCAAGTTTGAGGACCTTACCCCAATCAAGAAATAAGAGACAAAATTTTGTAACGCCCAACATTGCTCTAAACCTAACATTTGCCACTCCAAGAGATGGCAGTGGGGTCACCCTCGGCATTAACCGTATAATTGCACGTAATGGCCGCACCCCTATATTGAGGACAAAGTATTGCAAAAAAAATAACAAATTATTCGCACATGCGCCACACCTCCTTGTTTTTGAGACATGCCGACTGTAATGCCATGTTTCTACGAATATATATCGCTGGGTGGCGCTAGCCAACACCCGAGCACGTAGCGGCACGTCGCTCCACATCCCCAATATTTGCTCTCCACTCATCCGCATCACCGTATGGCACAATGGCCGTCGACCTCGATCGTGGTCGGCAGCACTGTCGGGATGCATTTATGTTGGGGTAAGGCATTGAAAAAAGATAAAGGATATGTCAGGTTCTGTGGCAAGCGGGAGGAATGGGGATTCAGCGGGGTAGGCTGGCACGTGCATTCAGGTTTCCAAACGCCACTGTACACTCTGGGGAGATTTCCGTTCGTTCTTCGATTCGTGTCAAAGCATCGTGATTTGTCTGCCTTTTTGCGCAATCTGAGAGCTCAGGGCAAGTACCACTTCAACAGCCATACGGGATTCAAGCCGAAAATTGCCACACCTGCTATCAAGTATGGCCAAAAAAAAAAAAAGGTGCGTATTGCGCAGTATGTAAACTAATTAAAGCTGACTGACGATTGAGTCCAGACTCCGGAAAGCAGGCGTTTCCGACCAGTGCAGCGGAGCACGCTCATGTACGTTCATTTCGGAATGTGGATACAGGTACTTTTTTTTGTTTTAATTTGTCGAAAAATTGCCTTCAAATCGGGAAAACATAGTGCGGTCCTTACACGAGTTTATACGTTATTTCGACGAAAAACACTCGTCGGCAATAAAGAAAACAAAATTGCCTTTCTTGCCGACGAAAGTTCATTCCGCCGTAAGAATGGACGCCCGTGAGCGGAGAGGCGGCCTCACCGTTGCCGGGGGGTGCCTTGGGCAGCCCGGACCAGACGGCCCAGGGCCGAGCCAGACAAAGCGAGGCCAGCAGCTCTCCGACCAGCCCCATGTTCTCCGGCTCCGGGCAGGTCCCCTCGTCCGGCGAAGGCAGCAGGCGCTCCAGCAGCCACAGCCGCCACCTGCAATGACGGGCGGGCAAGACCAAGCCAGTTAGAGTGGGACCCACACCCTTCGGCTTTGGAGGGGAACCGAGGAACAAATTACGCCAAAATGGCTGCTGCCGCTACGCCGATTCTCAACGAAATGTGTTAGTATTTAGCGCGGGGGTACAGACTCTGCAAAGAATGGGCATTCCAACCTCGCTCCGGTCCGCATACAGTTGTCTTGCAAGAGCCAGTCTTTGCTCCTGGTTGCCGGCGCTTTCACGCAAAAGACGTCGTCGCTGCACTCGGTTTTATGTTGTAGCTTACTGTATAAACCGAAATATAGGTCCAGTTTTTTTTTTCTGGAAATGCACTAGAAAGTGTTGACCCTCGTCTCGTATACCGGTCATTGGTGGAAAAACAAAAAAAGTGTGGAATCTACGACTGCCCGATGCCACCATTTTCTTTTTATTCGCACTACTCGCATTCCTCCTGTCCCGATTGTCGTTCTGCTCCCCGAGCGAGAACGAGTGGAAGCAGACGCGATAGGTTTCAAGCGAAAAGCTAACGTACATGCAGAAACGCGCGGCACTTTGACGCGCGAGGTAGATTCCACAAGTGCAGCATCGGCAATGCGATTGATGGGATAGAAGACAATGTGTTGTTGGACACGGACAGCATAGAGCACCCGTCGTCCAAGAAAGACGGAAGTTCCAAAGAATCGAAGCAATGCTCGCACGTGGGTTTCACTGCATGCAAGTGCAAAGCGGTGCGAAGAAAATAAATGTGCCTCAATTTCTTGCCGCGCTTTATTCTTCCTTCAGATCTTTTTTCCCTGGTAAAATTTTATTTTGTCATTATAAATCTTTGGTTTCCATTTTCACAATTTGTAAATTGGGGGTTTGAGCTATACTCCGGCTCAAACTATAATCCGTTTCTTTTGGTATGTTGTGCCAAGGCCGCTTGATCCCTTCCTCTCCCACTCCCACGGCGCATTGTTGGAAGCGGGTAAGAACATTCTTTCCCTCTTACATAGGAGGGAGAGTAGATGCAAGGAGACAATGAATGAAGCAAGAGAGCATGACAGGAACCGGAACCAGAATCTGATGATCCTGTCCTGGTCGAGACAAGATTGATTGAACCACAGGAGTTCATTCTAGCCAGGGATGGGCAAAATACATGCAAATATGTATCAAAATACAAACACAAAATACTTCGTCAAAAGTGTATTTAATTACAAATCTAATTACATTTGCAAAAAAGCATTTAATTACAAGATACAAATACAACCAAGTGTAATTGGTCTCCTCCAAATACTTTTCCAAATACATTCCTCAAAATTTTTATCAGCGACTTCAGGGCACGTACTACCGGTTTGTGGGTATCTCAGTTTAAGTTTGCATCGCACACTCGGGAGTTAGTGTGCGAGGCTCTAGTAACGTAATAGAAATATAATCACAAAAAAATGTAAGCAGCTTGGACGTAATGGGTGAAAAAAGTACTAAGCTTCAAGCAGCTTTTTTTGTCGATTACATTTTGGTATAGACCAACAAAGAACCGAGACGACCAAGACGCGCACCACTAGCTAGAGTATTTTGTATTGTTGCAACTCGCAGCAGTCACGGAAATCTGGACGACCCGCGCATTCAGAATGTTCCAGGCAAAGTATGGATGGAAATCAGGCTGGAAAGCATCACAAGTTGTCACAGGCACTTATTTAGCCAGTCCGCCAGTGAACGTCGAGTTCGTCACTATTCCTGCCCTAGACTAGCCCCGTAATCACAAAGTCACTAAACGCTTGTGCTTGATTGAGAGACACTGCATTTGGTGCAGAACGTAGCTTTCTTCCTGCTCTGGACAGTGACAATAAATTTGAGGGATGTATTTTCGCCCACAAAATTGTATTTAATTACAATTGTATTTGAAATACCCACGTTTTAGTACTTAAATACACACGTCAAATACATTATCCAATTTGTAATTAAATACAAATGCAAAATACACAAAGTATTTGAAATACGTATTTCAAATACTTGTATTTGAAATACTGCCCATCCCTGATTCTAGCATAGCAATAAAGGTGCGAGCCGTGCTGCGTCTGGTCGCGATCTGGTGAATCGAGAGAGCGTCCATGCGCAGACGCAGCGAGCACAGTCCAGGGTCACCCGGCAGCGGTGGCGATGATGATGGCGGCGGTGGCGACGATGATGATCTCCCGATACCTCCCCACTTTGGAAGAACACTCACACTTCCCCAAAGCGGTCATGTGGACAGCTCACTCATCCACTCTTGGTGATGGTAGGTGCCACAGCCAGTTGCAGATGTCCTTTTGTTCGCCGTGTAGTGCCGGTCGTCGTCCGAACCATGTGTAAACGGGGTTGAGGCGCTGGCCCTAGAGTGTGGACGTAAGGCGCTGCTCCCATCATAATCTGACCGCAGTTCCAAGCGGAAGGATATCGAGCTCACGTGTTCTGGGGTGCTCGTCATGGTGTTAGTGCATCTTCTCCTTGTATAAGGCATTTCTGAAGCGAAAGCGAGTGGTGTCCCAGCAAGGTTGGAGAGATTCAGGCTTTACTGGCATGTTTGTGCGCAGTCTTCGTCCCATGAATAGCTCCGCTGCTGCGTAACCTTCGATTCAAGGGGTCGCACGCTGGGCCAGCAATGCCTTGTAAATGTCTGTCGATTTTCTAAGGAGTTTCCTAGCCGTTTGGACTGGCCTCTCGGCCACCCTGTTGCTCTGTGGGTAGTGCGGACTTGACGCTAATCGTGTCACACCCCACTCCTTCAGAAACACCGCGAATCCAATCGAGGCGAATTGCGGTTCGTTGTCCGTTCGGAGGATTTTCGGTGCTTCATATCGTGCAAACATTGGGTCGAGGACGGCGATGATGTCCCTGGTTTTCGTCCTCCTCAAAGGTTCCAGCTCGAAGAACCTTGAATAGTAATCGACAGAAAACAAGAACTTACTGCCTTCATGGACGAAAAGGTCCATGTCGACGATTTCCCATGGGTAGCTTGGCAGTGGAGTCGCCAAAAATGGAGGTTCCCCTGGTTTCTGGTGTTCTTGACAAACGGGGCACCTCCTTCGGACAAAGCTACCGATGTGGAGGCCAATGTCTAGCCACTAGACTCATTCTCGTGCTCTGGCACGGCATTTGGACACACCCTGGGCCCGTTTGCTCGAAGCTGGTTAACTAACCGCGGTTAACCAGATTTTCCTACGAGGGGGAATTTTGGGTCACGTGACTGGCAGAGGAAGGATGGCGGGAAACATGGCAGTGCCCCGGTGAGTGAGCGCCGCTCGCTTTGGAACTAATACGTCGTAGTAGCTGCAGTAGCAGGCGCGTTAGTCAGCAAGGAATGGTGCAGGAGGTTTTCGCATTGCCTTACCTCACTTAAAACGCAAAACACGAGCAATGACCTCGAAGCATTTTTTAGATAGACTTTTGACTCTGGCCATTCCTAAGCCTAAATGAACGCGATAGTTGTCGGCATGGCAATGTCTTTGGAAAATGGATTGCCTTGACTCAATCGGCCGGGTATTGATAGCACACAGAAGCAGAGGGCATTCTCATAGACCTTTTGCTAAATTTCAAAAAGCACCGAGGTGCATGCTCCGAGTGTAGTTACACGCGCTGCACCTGCTGGCGTCTGTAGTAATAACTGTTCTGAAGCAAAAAGCCTAAAACAAATTTTGCCGTGCAAGCGCGTTGGTCAAAGATTTACAGTATAGACCACTTACAACGTAACCGCTTATAGTGCAGGACCGGGTATAACGCGGTTTCTTTAAACCACCGGTTCGCCTCCCATAGAACTTCATGTAATTACATACCGCTTAAAATGCAGGCGCGCGAAGGGAAGTACCGGTTATAGTGCGGTTTCTGGCTCGGCCCGCCGACCGCGCCGCCGACCGGAGCAGCGAGCACGCTTCCCTGTGCGACACTAGATAACGGCGCTGACGGCGCGAGCCGCAAGCGTTGCGCAAGCAGCACTCGCGGGGCAAGGAGGTTGCTCGATGAAGCGGGAGAAGCGAAGAGAGAGGCTTCAGTTGCCCTAGCGACGGAGGGACGCACGCACGTGTCGTTCACGTGCGTGCGTCCCTCCGCTTCCTTGAAAACATCCGAAACAACCGCAACGACAGACCAATCGCAGGCCGAGAAGTGTTCGCGCGCGTCGCATGCCGGTCGCGGGCCGGCTGCTTCTCCGCAAACATGGCATCGGTGGGATCAACGTTGTGATCGTCGTTTAGACGGCGTTCATCTCATCGTTCCGCGTAAAAGCGCTATCCTTTACTGTGAATCTTCGCTGTATGTCGCTATGATAACCCAGCACGTACTAGAAGGGAAGATCCACCTACTCGAGCGGCGATGTCGTGGCGGCACTCTCAAGACGGCAGAAACGCCCGTGTCGTCGTGTTTGTTTATTTCGACTACAGTGGTGCTTTCTAAGCATTTCTGTCCTTGAACATCGCCCGGATTTCTTATTTGGCGCATTTCATGCGTGTGCTCAAGTTCAATTGGTATTACTGGCGCGTACCGTATGAAGGATGCGAATTTTCACGCGTTTTCATCTCCGGAGAAAAGCGATTAGGGTTAGCAATCCTGAACGCTCGCAAAGTCCGTCCGCAACCCGCGACGCCGTTAAAAGGCTGCGCCAGGCAAAAGCCGCTCATTTCTTTCAAAATGCGTGACACACTTGAGAGAGAAGTGTACTAGTCTGGTGAAATAAAGACTTTCCTCACACTAAGCTTTATTTTTCATCTAATATAAAATAAATTGTTTTACAAAGGTAAGTAGTCTCATGGCATGTATTTTGGCCTGAAAAATTGATGTTTAGGTTATAGCGCGGTACCGCTTATAGTGCGGATTTTCGCGACTCCCGCGACATACGTTATATGCGGTCTACACTGTATTATGATTATTTACTTCAAATCTTTTATAAGTGTAAGGCCAACGCGCGCGAATCGTAGAATTACACTTCCAGCGTTCTTCTCGATGTTCGGGTAATTTACTAATAGGTCAATTTTCAGTGGAGCCGAGTTACAGGTTTTTCAATTTATGACGGGGTTATATACAGTTCTTGCATGCTGGCCAACCATGCTGCCGGGGTACCGCCCGCCCTTCACTTCTCACCTCTTTCTCATCGTTTCTAGGACTCAACTTCGTCGTCCTCTTTCGAACTCGGAAGGAAATTTCAACCGAGGCTTTTCTTCACTTCATACAACCAAATATTTAAAAAATTTCCAAACAAGGGTTAATTTAGTTTTACATTGCCGATTATTTTTACCACGAGCAATAAAAACTGTTTTTCAAGCTCAAATGTATGCCGCGCTGCGTCGCGAAAACCAGGCAGCGCGGATTTTTTGGGTCCCCCCATTTCGGGAACCTTTCCACGGAAGCCACGTATATTCGCTACAGCCAGTAGGTGACACCAGCTACCACCCCATAATAAAACGCGGAACTATCGCTCATCCAGCCCTCGTCAAACTTGGCTAGGTACTTATAGGTACGTAGTAGGGAAGGGTGGTTAACTTTTAACCGCGGTTAAAGTTAACCAGGTTCGAGCAAACGGGCCCAGGTGACCTGCATGAAGCATTCTTCTGGATTTCGAAGCGTAGGGCTTACGGTATGAGGAGTCGATTGCCCTTGAAGAACAGGACGTCTAGTATGGCTAGTTCGCCGGCGACTTTGTAGAACTGGCGGACTCCTTGAGGAAGCGTCATTTTATCTGGCTATGTCCAAAGGGCGTAGTCGATTACCATCCTCGTTACCGGATCTGTCTGTAGCTTGTTCTTCATGTGGTCGAGCATTTCTTGGGGACTGGAAGCTGTTCCAGCGTGAGGAGCTCATACTCGGTGTTGAGTTTCCTTGTACAAGAGGCTATGTTGCATAACGGCTTGCATGACAGCACGTCGGTGCTGTACATAGTTTTTTCAGGAACGTGTCTTATGGTGTAGTCGTACTGCAGCAGTTGCATTCGAAATTGATGCAGTTGTGGGCTCAGCTTATCGAGTCACTTTCTTGTCATGAGGGGAACCAGCGGTTTCTGGTCTGTCTCAATGTGAAACTGCAGTCCTAAGATGCACATGCAAAAATGATCCCAGGCCCATGTGATTGCGAGCTCTTCTTTGTAAATTTGAGCGTAGCGCTGGTCCGTCTTAGTGAGAGCGCACTGCATAGGCAATGGGCAGCCGCTTGCCGTTGGTCTTTTGCAGCAAGACAGCACCCATTCTGCCTCGCTTGATGTTTTGAGCAAAAACATTGACATTAGGTTCACATAACTCGTTGCATTCGAGCCACATCCAAGTCAATAGTGGAGATGGAGAAAATGATGACCAATATCTTGAATGTATGTCATGCATCGAAAATAATTTTATAAAAACAAGCAAATGTGACATAAGGTTGGAAAAGCTACACAGCAGAAAATTTTCACAAAGACAGGTCCAACCCAAGCAGAGCTTACTCATGACAACCAGGGAAGCTACCAGAAGGATCACTACAAACGTGATGCAGCTTGGCTCATATACAAAACAGGAACTCAAATGGTTTTCCAGAGGCACCGTGACAAGACCGTTCCTGTAGCCTCTGCTTCCCAAAGAGTTATCCCCGGAGGACTCTAGGCCCGCTCCGGCCCCGCAAGCGGTCGGAGACGTCACCTGTGCTTCTCGGGCACGACCCGGTCGGCCAGGCCCAAGCCCAGGAAGCCCGGTGCGTCCAGCCGAGGCGGCGAGTCCTGGCTTCCCAGCAGCGCAGCCAGGCTCTGCAGGCCAGGCCTCTCCAGGGCCTTGCCTGCACACCCGAGACACGGCCGAGGTCAGGGGTGTGACGACGACGCATCGCGCGCAACAGCAGAGAAGGTGGGGATGTGACACTGCAACTTGGCTTGGCCAGTGTCCAGGCAAACTAGGCAATCACCGAGGCTGCCCATGTGCACCCATATCTTCCATGGGGCTTTGCACTCTCTGGGAAGACATCATGCCTCAAAGCATAATCGGTGAAGCTGTACGGCACTTGTAGAGGCAAAACCAATGATAAAGGTGATTTTCTTGGAACTATAACAGATTGGAAAATGATTTGCTCATGTTAGTGCTTAGCACACACAAAAAAGATATACAATATGTGAAAAACTTTATAAATTGGACGAGAAATTACAGAAAAATGTTTAAAACCAGGGACTCCCCTTAAAGTAACTACAGTATAGACCACTTACAACGTAACCGCTTATGGTGCAGGACCGGGTATAACGCGGTTTTTTTAAACCACCAGTTCGCCTCCCATAGAACTCCATGTAATTACATACCGCTTAAAATGCAGGCGCACGAAAGGAAATACCGGTTATAGTGCGGTTTCTGGCACAGCCCGCCGACCGCGCCGACGACCGGAGCAGCGAGCACGCTTCCCTGTGCGACACTAGATAACGGCTCTGACGGCGCGAGCCGCAAGCGGCACTCGCGGGGCAAGGAGGTTGCTCGAAGAAGCGGGGAGAAGCGAAGAGAGAGGCTTCAGTTGCCATAGCAATGCAGGGAGGCACACACGTGTCGTTCACGTGCATGCGCCCCTCCGCTGCGTTGGAAACAAAGAAACAAACAACCGCAACGACAGACCAATCGCCGGTCGAGGAGAAGTGTTCACGCGCATTGCATGCCGGTCGCGGGCCGGCTGCTTCTATCCGCAAACATGGCGTCGGTTGTGATCGTCGTCGTAGACGGCGTTCATCTTATCGTTCTGCGTAAAAGCGCTATCCTTGACCGTGAATTTTCGTTGTGTGTTGCTGTGATAACCCAGCACGTACTAGAAGGGAAGATCCACCAACTCGTGCGGCGATGTCGTGGCGGCGCTCTCAAGACGGCAGAAACGCCCGTGTCGTCGTGTTGTTTACTTTGACTACAGTGGTGATTTCTAAGCATTTGTGTCCTCGAACATCGCCCGGATTTCTTATTTGGCGCATTTCATGCGTGTGCTCAAGTTCAAGGTGTTACTGGCGCGTACCGTATGAGGGATGCGAATTTTCACACGTTTTCATCCCTGGAGAAAAGTGATTATGGTTAGCAATCCTGAATGCTCGCAACATCCGTCCGCAACCCGCGACGCCGTTAAAAGGCTGTGCCAGGCAAAAGCCGCTCATTTTTTTCAAAATGTGTGACACACTTGAGACAGAACTGTACTAGTCTGGTGAAATAAAGACTCTCCTCATATTTTTCATCTAACATAAAATAAATTCTTTTACAAAGGTAAGTTGTCTTATGGCATGTATTTTGGCCTGAAAAATTGATGTTTTGGTTATAGCGCGGTACTCAGGGGTGGAACTCATGAAATGTACTTGGGAGCAGCCACGGGAGCAGCTGAAACAGCTGTTTTGGAGCAGGTTGGGAGCAGCTAAAACTACATTCTGGAGCAGGCTAGGAGCAGCTCAGATCAGTTTGCATTGCACTTCAGCTTGTGTCTTAGACAAGCACGGGAGCAATTTCAATTGTGCTTAGGAGCAGAGATGAACATCAGTGGTTAGGGACCCAGGTAGATGGGATAACAGTGTAATAATGCGAAAACTTGAAACTTTGCGAGCCTTAATGAGAATCAAAAAGCTAGTACCTGATGTTTCTGAAGATAGCGTCCTTAATATTTTCTTATTGGCTTTCGGCTGCTCAAAATGCAAACCAGCACTACTTATCGCACAACCCGCACGTGATTGACATAGTAATTATATGTGCGAACCACGTGACGAGCGTAAACAACGGACGTGAAGTTGCACGGAGGAGCAGGGCAACAAATTTCGAGTTTATCCTATTGTGCAACTCGATATCGAAGCAGCAGGCTACGATTAACGAAGTTATCGTATTTGAAGCGATAAGCAGGAGCAAGGTTAAAGTACGCTGAGCAGATAAGTAGAGCTGCTGGCCGGCAAGGTTTCGGATCGGACCGCGTTTCAGTTCTATCGAATCACGATTTATCTTGCGAGAATGCGGTTCCAACTCCTAAGGATGAAGTACTAAAAGGAATCTTTTGCTCATTTGCTTTCGACTGGATGACGTCCGGATTCCGGGCCGCAGAGCCTCATGCAATCTGATGCTTAACGACTCGACCTTACCTCGGCCGACTTGCCCTACCGCTTATGGTTGAAGAATAACAATCCAGTCGCAGGTGGTGTAGCGCTTAGAATCCGAGTTTTTTTCGCGTGCTTCCGACTGGGGATAGACAGGGAGAATAAACAAAACAAAAGATTACAAGGCCGACCAGGCTAAACGCCCTCATTGTTGCCAATCGAGTTGATAGAAACCAAAACTAAGACGAAATAAAAAGTTTTTTGGCGCACGTTTTGCGATTTGGCGCATAATGGCGCGAGGTATTGGCTGTGGCGCAGTTTCTGCAACATGGCGCAAGACGGCGCAGACACATGCGTCTGGCGCAAAATGGCGCAAATGGCGCAGCCGTTCCACCCCTGGGTACTGCTTATAGTGCGGATTTTCGCGACTTCCGCGACATACGTTATATACGGTCTACACTGTACAGTCAAACCTCGATGCAACGAAGTCGGTAAAATTCAGAATTTACTGTGTTACATTGAAATTTCGCTACATAGAAAGTCGGGGCTAACGTGAAAGAAAGTTTCCACAAATGCTTCCCAGGTGCACAAAGCTCACCGAGGATGCCTTCATTTCTGTTGAAAGTAGTCTGTTACCTTTTGCTGGGCCACTCTTGACATTATAGTTGCATTATAGTTACAACTATGTACAAATACACGTGAATATGTCACAACAGGTTTGTAGAAGTGTGTGGTGCTCATGCACTGCCAACTGGCTCTCTCACACACAACGCACGCTGCCGGCGATGGCGCACGCTCGGATGAGAGCACACAGGCGCCTGCGCATTCAACGAATCATGTGGCCAAGCTAATTGGAGCGCCATCTCTAATTGGCTTGGCCACATGCCATTGCCACTACCGCTACACCAGCCGACACGCAAAGCGACTATCTTGAGCATATCACGTGCATTGAGTGCCTAAATTCCAAACTATAAATATCCCCAGCAAAACGAAACATTGTGCAAACGTAACGTTTATAGTTCACCGAAAACATAACAAATAGCAACACCTACCACGATATCCGCAGTTCCCCTTTTAGGTGGGCATTTCCAAATGCGTACTGGCCAAAAACCCGGTTTGCCAGATTCTGCAAGGAGTGTCCCCTCACCTGGACAGAAGAGGGAGGTGAGGTCGGAGCAGGCGAGTCCCTGCCGCAGCAACTCCTGCAGCAGCAGGTGGCCCTCCTCCAGGCACTGGTTCAGGAACACCGTCCTGCAAGGACCCACAGCAGGTCACGGCACCTCTCTGGGGATATGACCGAGGAAACACAAAGAAAGAAAAGGTGCCAGCATTCTCAGTTGCTGATTGAAGGTCGTGCCACAGCTTGTGCACAATCAACCAGTGAGACATTTTTGACCAGATCACAACTGCGTAATACTTTGGTGAGAATGCCTCACCACCATACAAAAAAGTTCGAGGTACACCTAAGCACTTTTTAAGAGTTGTCAATGCGAAAGCATGCAAGCCGCTCGTCCGCTCCCTTTTTCGTCTGCTGCGTACTGCAGGGGACGAGGAAGAAGAGACGCACACGGCGAGGTGCGAGGGACAAAATGAAAAAAAAATGACCGCATCTCCACATGGTGAATGATGTTGATTATGGCGAAGCTCTGGCGGTGCTGATGATACTTCTCGCGCCCTGGTCTCCGGAGCAGCTCAATGTCTGCGTAGACGCTGAGCCGCAGCATGCCGAGCTTTTCGTTCGTTTTCATCCAAGAGAATGTGTGGTATGGAACGTGGTTATATACGCATTTGAGCATTTGACCGCAGCGCCCTCTCGTCTATAAACGTTGAGCCAATGCATGCAAAGTTTAATGCTATTATATACGCATTTGACCGTAGTGCCCTCTCCTGTATAGACGTTGAGCAGCTACATGCAACATTTCATCCATGACATCCCCAGCTCTTGAGTTACTACCACATTTCAGAGCCCGCTGTCCCGCAGTCGTGGCCGAGTGGTTAAGGCGATGGACTAGAAATCCATTGGGGTCTCCGCGCACAGGTTCGAATCCTGTCGACTGCGCAAACATTTTTTCTTTTTTTAAGAAGACAGATGGAATGAAAAGCGATGTGAGCACGGACGCCGGACGGACAAGGCTAGACCCTAAGAAGCTTCGCCCCTAAAAAGGGGGAACGTGACAGCCCCAGTGGCAGCAGTCGAATCTCGCAGAGCTCGAGGGCAGACGATTCTTCATCGCGGAGTCGAGGACCCAGACCTTCATCGCAAAGCCAGACCTGCATCACCAAGGCAGACCGGCAACACGGCGGCGGTCGCCACAACGGGGGGGCCAAGCCAGCGCAGACCACGAAGAGAACTGTATTTATAAACCTCTTCCTCATGGCAGCGGGTATCGTCTGGTTTCTCAATGAGTGAGCGGAGCACGATCTGATCGGGCAGGGGCAATAGGAAACCCACAGTACTTTTTGTCGCCGGTCAGCGCGCGTGCTCCCCTGGTGACCTTGGACGCTCCGTGTTAACGGCGAGCTGATGGACACGCAGCACCATGGGGTGAGCAGTCGTGGAAACTGACGAGCACAGCGGCCAATGGGAGCCCTGTCGACGTGCGCCAGCCAGTGAAACCGAAGGAAACAAGGTGCCGTTTTCGCGCTTCAAACTGACGACGTCAGCTCGTTTCATGAGGCAGTTAATGCTTTCGCATCAATAGCGAGAAAGCTCTCCCTGCCTCCGACATGTGTGTCCTTAGAACTTTTTTGCCCACCGGTTGATGTCAGCTCGTGCACAACAGCAGAACAACTTGGGATTTGCAAACAAAGCACGGGCTGTCAATGGCTTCTAACGTGAAATAGAAGATGATCACAAATTCGGTGTGCGTCTGATCTCACTTTGCCTTTTCTTGGTTTGTAACGAGCGATTATCTTTTTTTTTATCTCTTAGCAGACAACATATGATGAAGAGTTCTAGTTTTATTTTCATCTGCAAACAATGATTTGTAGTAGACAAACCACTTTCTTCATGCCCATTGCCAGATGAACTGTCTATGAACACTATTTTTGCCTGCTCTGCGAGTCAAACTAGATTTCGCATTTCAATCTAGCAGCTGCCCCAGGAGCCAAAGGTTGTTCAGTTTGCAGGAACATTCTGCGGGAATGAGTCAAATGATTCTCCAGCACTCTTAAAAAAAGGGTCCCAAAAGGGTGGAACAAGCAACTTTTACACCCTCAACTTAGTGAAGAAGGAAAGGCCTTGCTTATAGCCTCCTAGAGGGGACAGATACTAGCGCCCCTTATTGGAAATGCGTTTTTAGAAGGTAATGTTAGCCCCATGTCACTTCTGTCATTCTCCTTTGGATTTCGTCGGCGGTGGAACGCTGGTCCTTATCGCCTTTAGAAACCATGTTTTTGCATAAAAACAAACAGAAAAGGCTATTTTTGTATAAAACTTTATTGGAGATTAGTACAAAACGACAGGAGCATGATGTTTGCATACAATTTTAGTTTACAGAGTTTTGTGGCACATTTAATATTCTTTTTATACAACCGTGCCTAAGCCATTTCGGAGTACCTTTCGGAGCAGCCAAAACAGTGTCTCGGAGCAGCGAAAGTGGCTTTTGGAGCAGTTATTCCTAGAAAAATAAAAAGATTTGTTTTAATTGCTGGACAAATGAAAGCCACTTTGCTCGCCGCATTAAACAAATTATGGTCAAGTTGACCAACTGCGAGTCTTTCAACATGTTAACTGAAATGCCAACGACATGACACATTTTGCAATGCTTCAGTTAAATGACACATAAATGTATGTACCCGCTATAGATAAATAAGAACCAAACTGCACAAATTAAAATTTATTTGAAAATGGGCATCTTAGTAGTAAATATCAGCACTAGGCTGACTAGTTATATAATATAATAAAGGGAAGCAGTCTCCGACTGATGAAACACGTAACTACTGCAGTGCAATGCGAAATTGTACCCGAGACAAAGGTGCATTATGACTAGCGGGTGCATTTCTTTTTGCTTTTTGGAAATTTCTGCAAGGCTGCTGCAAGCCTCACTTTGCCTTCGGCAAGTAATGAATGTCCACTTTCAATGTCTCTAAAAAGACAATAGAACATCCCACAAGTGTAGTGCTGTAGGCATTGCCAAGCAATTCCAAAATACCGCTTGCCACCGTTTTACTGGTTCCCGACGCGCCAAATTTTCGTCAAAAGTAAGCAAACGTAAAGCAATGGATTGCAAGCGTCCCGGCTGGTGCCTCTGTTGTGCAAGCATGTTTGCATGCACTTGAGGGCAGCTTCGGCAGCCTGCAGTTGCACGTGTTTCGTCGCGCGAGCGGAGACGGCTGTTCGATCGAAACCGAAACCATTCCACTCCGCTCCGTCGCCAACTGGTTCTCAAAATTGTATGCAAAATGTTACTGTCCAGCATAGGATCAAAAACAGTCCAGCGGCGCATGCTTCCCAGGCCGGCAGAAGAGGTACAAGCTAAACACACATAAAAAAAGAGCCTGAGCGCATCGATGCAAGACCTCGCAAGTCAGGGTCAAAAAGTTCTTGGAGCGCTTTGTGCAACGAGTGAACTTGAGACAAACAAGCGCGTTGTGCGGGTTCAGCGTGCAGACATTGCCTTCTTTGCTTTAGTTCACTCTTCTTTACCAACTTTCTTTCGCGGCAGATTTTTCACGTACCGGGGTCTCTCTCGAAAGAAAGCCTACCAAGAGAAACCTAGGTAATCAATACTTCGACACAGCAGTTTTTGAGTTAAAGAGGGATTTTTGTAGTAGCGTCCGATTTAAGCAAGAACATAAGTGTTGATGACCTTGCGGAGGTCCTTACGTTTCAGGTTAGAAAGCGCCATATCTGCAGCAACGTGGGACGGTAACACCCGACGTCATGCGACCACGGTGACTGGTAGGCAGGGACCAAATAGTTTTTTCCACGGCAGTTGCTTTCAGGAGCGAGTTGCTTCAGCTCACAAAGTAAGCTGAAGCCGCGAGTTGTTACACAGCATGACGGCATGGCTGGTACCCGGCACGCTAGCGTCGGTGCGTCCGCACACGCTTGCATCTATTGTTGTAAAATTTAAAAAAATATGCGAGACGGGACCCACGAGACGACAGGAGCGCGAAACGAGAGACGACAGGAGCGCGAAACGAGAGACGACGGGAAAAACCATCCAAGACCAGATAGACCCTGCATCCAGATTGATGCAGGGTACTTTGTGTCGAGCGGCCGCTTGCACCACCCAACTCATACATGCTCAATTACGGTACTCAAGTTTAGTTTCGGTTTTGAAAGGCGACCGAAATTGGTCCTTTGGCGCAGGCTTGGCGCACATTACCCATATTTTGGCAAAATGTAGCAGCATATATCAGGGTTAGCCCCTTGGCGCAGTTTGGCGCAATCGGTGCAGCAATCAACATCACTGACCATGTCTCACCTGTAACCTTCAAGTAGCGTGTTCCGACCTGGGTGCGTCCCGACTTTGGCAAATAATCGCGGCTCACCCGCTTGGGAGACAGGGGTTGGAAGCCCTGAACCCCCTTCTACAGTATACGTTTCGGCGCCGAGAGGGCCATTCAAAGCCAAAATTGAACAGTAGCAGGAAGCGCTATCGTATGCAATACTCTGGCTACTCTGAGAAGGTGCCACCGGCCCTATGAACGACCTCGTGCGGCCTTGGAGTTCGCTGAGTGGTCGCTGTGAGATACATGGTGGTGATGCGATCGCGTTTAGTTTGGTTTTCGGGTACTGATCGGTGCCACTTTTTCTATGCAGGTTGCTAGGCAGTTTCCCAATCAGTACTCTAGTGACATTGAGGTAGCCCCAGAAAGGGTGCAAACTGGTTGACTGTTATTGCCCCCAAAAAGAGATGAGGTTACACCCTAGAGCAGGGGTTCTCAAACTGGGTTCCGGGGAACACAGGGGTTCCACGAGCTGGTCTCATGGGTTCCGCGAACACCCAAATTGCAACCCCCCTCCCCCCTTTTCCCTTCTCCCTCCCCCTCCCCCCCATGCCAAAGGCTGTGCGGCAGGACGATGCAAAGCACCTTCATCTCACTTTGTACTGACATTGCGATTGATATGGTGGGGATATATGGAAAGCAACACAAGCAAAATTGCCTACAATCGTGCATCCGTTGCTTCTCGGTCGGCAAATATGGAAAGGGGGGGGGGGGGGGGGGGGGGGGGGTTCCGCGGCAGTTTTTGAGGCTTCCTGGGGTTCCGTGAGGCCAAAAAGTTTGAGAACCCCTGCCCT